ATGTCTTTGTCACAGAATAATAGTCTGTTAAATGTGCCAAGTATGAAATAATTTGGGGACAAAAAAACAAACCTGCAAAGAAATCGGAATAATCTTTATTTTGATTATCGGAGACGCATTTCAATAGACTTGATTACGGATAATGCATGACGTAAATTTCACCAAGAAATTCCACAGTGTGCTCTCGCAACAGCAGACTTGGTCATGTTTACAAGGTTCGCCATGTTTGATGTTACGTGACAATTATGTAAACAATGACTGTCCAGTTTGTTCGAACTTATACCTCTATACTTAGTCTTTTGAAATATATAAGCTAAATTACTGTTCTGAACGAGACAACAGACAGAGAATGTTTTATTCGAAAACGTCACAAAACCCTTCTCGCTACCTTAATAGCAGGAATCCTTCCATCTTTTAAGATGATGGTAGCGCTCTGCATGACGTTATGGCGGTTGACAGCGTCTTTTGTGGCTTTCTAGGCCGATCCTGGCATGGCAATCGCGGCGACAGTTAGGACATATGAAGGCAGAGGGGTTCCCCTGTTGCAGTTTCCCTTTGCGTTTTAGTGTCCTTAACTCTAGCTTTCCCGACCCTTTCCAAGACCATCCTTCTGTTGTGGTCCTCTGCAATGGGTTCCAAGCTTGTTAGGTCTATGCCTGTTAGCTTCAGGTCACGTTTGCAGACATCTCTGAAGCGCAATTCAAGTCGTCCGACTCGGCGTTTCCCTGTCGCTGTCCACCGAGAAAGATGTCCTTTGGAATGCACCCATCTTTCATTCGGGATAAGTGTTTTAGCCAGCGTAGAAATCGCTGACAGAGAAGAAGGTGGATAATCGAAGACCATGTGCGTTCCAGAACAGTGGTCCAAGAAATGCCAATAATGCGCCTTAGGCATCGAAAATGGACGTTTTTAAGGTTTTTATTTTGGCACATGTGGTCCAGGTCTCGCTACCATACAGAAGCTTACTGAGAACGCACGAATGATTCTCTTTGAGTTTTGTATTAAGTTGCAGGTAGCTTGGTCATCACACCTGCCGTCCTGGCTATCCGTCTGTCAATTTTCTTATCTAAAGACAGGTTCTTAGTAACTGTTGATCCGATATAAGTGAAGTGATCTGTCACTTCAAGTGCTTCTGAATCTATGGTGACGATGGGTGGTTGTGGAACATCCTGGCCCATAACTACTGTTTTCTTTATGCTGATGATCAGTGCAAATTCACTGCACGCATGAGCAAACTGGTTGAGCAACTGTTGCAGCTCATCTTCAACATGTGCGACCAGTGCTTCATCAACGGCAAACAACAGATCACTAATCAGTACTGAGCGAACCTTTGTCTTGGCTCTCAGTCGGGCCATGTTGAACAGTTTCCCATCACTGCGGGTGTATAGGTGGACACCTTGAGTACAGTGACCAAAAGCAAACTTCAGCAGAAGAGAGAAGAAAATTACAAACAGATTCGGGGCCAAGACACACCAAATTACAAAGGGTTCAGAGGTCTCCCGTCATAAGTGACAACACCTTGCATGTCCTCGTGGAAAAAGATAATGATGTTAAACAACTGTGGGGGACAACCAATCGTCTGCAGTAGTTGAAATAAGCCTCTCTAGCTCTTCAAGTACAGGTACAGGTACATGAAACCCAGCGAGTCTCACGCTGCTGTGCAAACAACTACTGACTCATGTTGTCAGAATGCATCCAGCCTGCTTCAGCAACTGGCGACATCAGAAAGACGTATGAGGGCATCAAACAAGCAACTGGCAAACCAATTAAAAAGTGTGTACCCCTGAAAGCGAAGAAGGTCAGATCATTACTGACATGGCAAATGGCACGTTGGGTTCGAATTATCTTCCTGTCGCACAGTAATTTGTTGTTGCTCTTGTATATGAACTTCGAATATTCGCTATCACACGAACTTCCCCCTTCATCTAAATCTCGTAATTTTGCAAGAAAAAGCAGGTTTCCATTAGCCAAGCATCACATGGACACCACTGCCAAATCGTTTTTGCATATGTTCCATTATTTTCAAAAGATAATATTCATAGTTCATATACAAGAGCGAAAAAAAAATATTTAAAAATTACTGCATGACTCAAAGAGAATTCGAACGTCTTTGATTACTTTCTATACTTTGATATGCGAATACGGCGTGCCTGCGGTGAAAACCCGAACGAGAAGAACGGAAATGAGGGCGCCGCCAGTGTTTGGTGTGTGGGGGTATCTATGAAGATAACAACTTGGTATTGATTTAATGTCGAGATCGAGGCTAGCCTGTCATGCCTTAATCGTCCTGTTAATAGTCAACTCAGTGTGGTTCGATCTTGAGTCTTGTAGTGTAGTGTAAACAATGTCGTCCATTGTGTTTTCACTATCACTTGTCTTATTTGTAATTTCTACATGTAATGCAGACAGACCAACTGTCGAGATCTCTACCGGTACATTAATCGGTACCGTGGAAGAATTCAGCAGTGAATTTGTGGACGGTGCACGGACTGTACATGCATATAGGGGTATACCGTATGCTGATCCACCGGTCGGTGACTTGAGGTTTGCACCACCTAAACCCAAGACACCGTGGCAAGGGGAGTACAATGCTTCCGACTTCCGCACTGCGTGCATACAACCAGAAAACCCGATGATACCAGTCGACAAAATACAAGACGAAGACTGCCTGCACTTGAGTGTATATGTGCCACAGCCACAGGTGAGTCGAAGTTTATTATACATTGACCCGACAAGGTCAGTTGGAGGTCAGCAAATGTCAGATAGTATCAGTGGGCACATGATTAGTGTTTATGTTGACTCAGCAAGGTCAAAGCTCATCATAATATCGGTTTTATTATAAATAAGCGCATATCTACGAGTCAATGTGATCAATATCAATGCAATGAATCAATAAGACAAATAAAACAAGTGTTCATCTTACCAAATGACGCAATTTCAAAAACAGGGCGCACCCTCTAACCTATAGGTTAGTGGCTTACCAAAACACAAGACACGTACACAGTACTGTTGGGCATAATGGGCAGCTCAGTCCCTTTAATCAGAAACATATGGGCTGAGAAAAGACACCCATATGAAAAATGGTAAAACTACAAAGCAATAAATGGAAAGAGGTGCCCGAAAGATACTTGTACAACTAAAGTGTATTGTCATTAGTAAGAGATCCAGGGTGGGATGGTGGGTATCAAAAGTACAGCCTGAAAAAACGCATGCACAGACGACATGCATATGTTAATAAACAAAAGATATGTCAACCTGTCACCTAGGGCTGTGAGGGCGCTATAACATGTAAGACAACTTAGGACAATTAGGGCGCTGTCACAGAAAGGCCACTAATGTCCTTTAACACACAGTATTAAACATACATTATAATGTAAATAATAGTTTTCACCTTTACCTCATAAAGGCGTCTTGGCTATTCCCTCTCTGGACACCCTCAATAATATTTGGTGTACACCCCAAAGGAGCTCAGCACTAAACACAGAAAAGTGTATTGACTTAATGTGGGATTTAGATCGCGTTACAATCTAAATCCCTCTTTTAAGAGTTGTAAGCAGAAATTCCCATATGTACTAAACGTGTGTAAGTGATACAACATGAAGATGGCACGATTAGCAAAAAATACAACTATGTACATATGTTTCTATATACAATATTGCTTTTTATCTACGTCATTTTGACGTCACAGAAGCGCGACGTCGCTGAGGGCGCAAATTACTGTAAAGGTGTATTGTGTGGAATACTACTCCGAGAAGAAAACTTTACATCATTGTATTTTCTGTTTTGTTTAGAACGGTAAAAAGTCTGTCATGGTATGGTTACACGGTGGTGATCTAACTTATGGATCTGGAACAATGTTGCATGATGGGACTGTATTATCCGCGTTGAATGACGTCATTATTGTCACCATCAATTACCGACTTGGGGTGTTTGGATTTTTCAGCACAGGTTAAATACACATAACAATTTGTTCTGTCAGCAATTCATTCAGTTGTTCACAATTGTTGGTTGATGGTGCACATAAGGGTAAACAAAATGGCGCATTGGATGGCTTACTAAGACAGATATTTCACTAAATGACCATCTGCGAGTCTCAAGCATGTGTGATTCTTTTAGCAATTTATGTTGATAAACAAATCGTTTGTTTTCACAGGTGATGACGTAGCTTCCGGTAACTACGGTTTTCTTGACCAAGTAGAAGCACTTCGCTGGGTTCAACAGAATATAGCAGGTACCATCATGTTTACGTTGCACACCTGTGATTGAAGCTGTGTATTTATGTATTTCACATGTGTTGTATACGGCGCTATGGCCCTATATCAAATGCAGTGTAAACGTGATGTTTGATGCATGTATATTAAAGGAATTTGAATTACTATCGGAAGATGTAGTTTTAAATCTGATTAAGGCATCGCCCAGCAAGTCATGTGATTTAGATCCCCTTCCCACACGAGTGTTAAAACAGAGTATTGGTGAGATTAGTGGTTATATAAAATATATTGTTAATTCCTCACTATATAATGGTGTTTTCCCATCAAAGTTAAAAGAAGCTATAGTGTTACCATTGTTAAAAAACAGGGCCTTGACTTGGCATACAGTAACTATCGATCGGTATGAAATGTTTCATTTGTCTCAAAAATAATTGAAAAAGCTGTTTCTATTCAAGTACTGTCGCATATTAATTCCAGTCAGCATATAGAAAGTTTCACAGTTTGACAGTACAGACACTGCCTTACTCAAAGTACAAAATGATATATTAATGTCCATGGACAGCCAAAATGTTTGTGTTTTCGTACTTTTAGATTTGAGTGCAACATTTGACACTGTTGATAGTCAGATTTTATTAGAACGACTTGAACTGTGTTTCGGTATTTCGGGGAGGGCCTTGGCTTGGTTTAGATCATATTTAACGAGAAGGTACCAGTGTGTTTCGATCAAGGGTCTAACATCCCCAATGAATATGTTAAAATATGGTGTTCTTCAGGGGTCGGTGCTCGGGCCGCTTTTGTTTAGCATGTATACTTTCCCACTTGGCAGTATTATAGAACATCATGGACTATCATATCACCTCTATGCTGATGATACCCAGTTATACATATCATTTCAACCGAACTCAGTATATGATCGTGACATAGCTATGACTAATCTTAAGAATTGTGCCAGTGAACTGAAAGATTGAATGTACTGCAATAAGCTAAAACTAAATCCTGAGAAAACAGATTTTTTTAGTTTTTGGCATGCCTCAGCAAACTAAAAAATTAAATTTGCTTTCCCTCAAAGTTGATAATACTTTAATTTCTGTCAGGAATGATGTACGTAATCTGAGTGTGATGTTTGATAAGCATTTGAATATGGCAAGTCATTCTAGTCAGGTAACAAAATCATCATTTTATCATCTGTATAGGATTTCCCAGATCAGAAAATATCTTTCAACATAAACTACCGAGATTATTGTTCATGCTCTTGTGGGATCAAGGCTTGATTACTGCAATAGTTTATAATATGGTATAACGAATGTGCAATTATCTAAATTGCAGAGGGTACAGAAAGCAGCAGCTAGGATTGTTTTGAAGAAAAGAAAATATGACCATATTAAACCTGCTTTAATTTCCCTACACTGTCTTCCAGTAAAGGATCGTATTGTATATAAATTAATGCTGTTAGTATACAAAGCCCTCAACAGCCAGTCCCCTAAATATATTAGCGTAATGTTTCATTCACATGTGACACTTTTGTACACACTCAGGTCATCTTCAAACTTTACTTACTGTACCATTTTCACGTTAAGTAACATGTAGTGATAGGGCATTTGCTGTATGTGGACCAAGACTTGTAAAAAATGGAACAATATTATTGATTTTAAGGTACATTTGAAAACTTATTTGTTCAAGAAAGCATATAGTTTGTAATTATTCTTTCTTTGGTCTAGTTTATAGTGTAATGTCATGCGCTGTTGATCAGTTATTACTGTAAATATCGCAATATAAGTAAATAAACTATTATTATTATTATTATTATTATTATTATTATTATTATTATTATTATATTTATCGCAAAGCATTTATATCTTGGGAAGATTAAAACGCCAGATTCTCGCGACGCACCGTGTTTGAAATGAGTCCATATTTCACATATACGACGTATGTAAATTACATTGTTTGTTTACTCTGAATTCGAACGCGCGCTGCGTGACGACTGCGTCGCATTTAATAACGAGTCATGTGTATATTTATACCCTTTGGTGGGGATCCCGATAACGTTACCATATTTGGTCAGAGTGCTGGTTCTATTAGTTGTCATGCACACATTCTATCTGAGATGAGTAAAGGTTTGTTCAACAGAGCCATTCTACAGGTATGTATACATCATACAATGGCGTCATCACGAAGACGCAAATTGTGTACTCGGACAGTATGGGGGTCACATCGATGGGGATTCTTTGTATCTTCGTTTCGATAGACTACAATATACACCGAGATTCGCTTTCTGTGTGATATTTCATGTTTCTTTCTGCGTCATAGATAAATATTGCAGAACATTGTAAAAATATTTATCATTTGACAGCCAGGTTATGATTATGTTCGTGCTTACAGCGCTATAGTTGAGAATGAAGCTGATCCAAAATGGCGTATTGATGATGTACTCGAACATGAATGCCACGTGACACTGAAATCTACACATATTATGTTACATGTGAACATACATGCAATAAATGACTACTTGTTTTTTAACGTTGACATAGAGTGGAACTGCCAATATTAAAGGTTTTTTCAACACGGATTCAATAAAAAGTAGGCGAGTAGCTGGTGGTCTTGGTCACGTGGTTGGATGTGAAAAAGACAACACTGAGGATTTACTTAAATGCCTTCGTTCCCTTCCACCTGAGGAGTTTTTAGACGCGGGGGATCCATTAAAGGTAACTAAATGTGAGATCACAAACATAGAAATGCAAGAAGGAATGCTGGGAAACAAATTGACAAAATCTTTTTTTCAGAAAAAGTCTTGAAATAACTATCGTTCCTTATTTTACTGATTTTCCCGATTGGGTGTCAGTTCTAGCGAACATGAAATAATGGCCATGCTGGTTTCCATTATGTTTTCCAGTATTTTGGAATAAATTATATCAGAAACAAAACAAAACATTTCAAATACCAGTACCATTTTCTCCGATACCGAAAACATACAGTCGTTTTATTATTATGTTGTACACTGTCCTTCAGAAGGCCGTGGACGTTATGTATGTCAAATATTTATAAACGTATTATAAATTGCATATGACGATTGAAAAGAAATCACCATGTCTTTGCGGACATTTATCACAGCCGTCAGTGTGGGTTCTTATACAATTGGAAAATTAACTGCTACTTAAAATTATATATGTTAAAAAATTTAAATGTTTGGTACCAAAATGCAGTGACGATTCTACTCGTAATATTCAAAAAATATATTTTAGCGGTTAGTTTGAAGCGTTTTGAATGTATTCCGCCAGTGAGATATATGTTTCACGCCAGTCGACCCTGATTGGGGGAAAGACGCGGAGACTCATTGGTAATAAACGTCACCAGTTTAGCCATTGAGCATTACTTACACTCTAACATCATTATAGCGAACTCTTTCGTAGACATGCAATTAGTTTATTATAGTGAAGTTTTCACTATACTGAAATAATTATTACGTTATGTTTGTTATGAGCGCAGACATGCAATGTGTTCGTTATATCAAGAAATTTATTATACATAATGGTGCTCGTCGTGACAAAGTTACAGTGTATTCTGATTTGAATGAAGCGTGAATGTCTTCCTGGGTGACTATATAAAACTCGTTTATGGCTTTCTGTAAAGTTTGTCCCTGTCACGAGTGTATACATAATTGGTATCAAAACATATGATAAATGATAAATTTATAAATGGATTCATCTAGGTTGTCAGAATTCCCAAACCAATAGTGTTATCTTCTGTTGCTAGGGTATTATAGCGAACGTCACCGGAATGGATGACTTGATGCTTCCATTTTTACCCAACGTGGACGGAACATTCCTTAAGAAGAATCCCATGGTTACCGCTAAATCTAGACCATTTAACGACGTGGACTTGATGATCGGTACGATGGCGAACGAGGGAATGGTGTTCATCGTGGGGCTTTTTCCGGAAGCGGAAGATAAAAGTGATGTAAAAATAAACAAGACAACGTATAAGGGCATGTATCCATATATTATTCCCGAGGCGAAGAACGACGATGTGCTGTCCATGTTAGAGCTACTGTACGTCGACTGGGCTCACGCAGACGACGATGATGCAAACTACGTGGACGTTATGAGTCAAATGGCCGGTGATTGGATGTTTGTGTGTCCATCAGACACGGTGGCGCGGTCTCACGTTGAGGGCGATCACGCAACTTACTTGTACCAAATGACGCATGTTCCGATAAACAAGTTATGGTCCATCGGGACAGGAACAGCCAACCACGGAGATGACGTTAGTCTTGTGTTTGGGATTCCCCTGTTTTCTGAAAAACAGTTGGTACTCGGTGGTGATGACGCGTCCATGTTTAAATATCCAATCAGTACGGAGGACGTAAAGATGTCCCTAACAGTAATGAAATATTGGACCAATTTCGCCAAAACTGGGTGAGTTGAAAATGATGTTTTGGAGCCTATTTAAACAATATATTACCACAGTCCATATCCTTAATACATCTCTCACGACAAAGCGGTTCTGTGACTTCAAAATGACGTAAAATTAAGAAAGCAATATCGTTCAAAAGAACTACTGTTCTTTGTTGTGAAGTTGGTCGTTATTTAGAATATCAATTTCTCAAAAACATTATTTTTTATTGATAGACGATTACAGATATCACAATTTAAACGAAATGAACACACTACTATTCACCAGTTACGTCACCAACGGGTTTGTCACTAGAGCGCGCTACTTATACAAAAGCTGTATTCCAACTCGTTATTTAAAATCAAGTCCCTAATTGCGGGTTATGGTGATACTGTCTGATTACGTCATCAACTTATCTGCTCGTCATAAGTTGGGCATGACGTCACGGTGCAAGTTCACCGTCCTTACACACAAAGAAATGAGCTGAACAATGTTTGGAGAACTATTTTTGTTATTATGACTGACATGATACGAGTGGTTGCGAACGAGGCAGCGTCTTGTGTGACCTACTCTAACAAAATTGCCACTACTTCCTACAATTCGTTCGTTGCAAATACATTCGTGCACCAAGAACCTCGATATCAAAACCAAGGTACATTTCAAGGTAAATTTATCAACATATCAACACATTTATTCCAGTAATCCTAATCGTAGTTCTGCAAGTGATGAAGATAACAACGATGACTGGCCATTGTTTACAGTGCCTGGTTTAGCGTATAAACAACTCTCATTATCAATGGAGAATAGTAACGCATTGAAAGCAAGAGAATGTGCATTCTGGAATGAATTTGAACCAAAGCTTCAGAAACCTGGTGAGTACATGACTTTCAATTCAACTTTCACATTCCCTGTTAATACCGTCCTCTTGCAGAAAGGACTTCTGTAACAAAAAAGGTAGACGATGAAAAAATTTTGTTTACAGAGGTTGTGTAGACATTCGTTAATATAGCAAGTCTCTCACACAAATATGTTTTTATTGATTAAGGGAGACTTCAAAACACGCTAATATAGGGCGCTTCTCAGTTCACAAACTTTAATTTGGTTTTAATTTAGCGAATTTTACTTATTAGTAGTGCAAATGGCAAATGAACAGACTACCTGTCCAAACAAATTGCTATACTACATTGTCACATTTTGACTAACGTTCGTAATTCATTCATTCACCATGGAAACATATTTCGGAAAAGCACAAATATGCCGACCCTGGTCAAAACTGAAATGTATCACCATTCAATCAAAAATACAACGTACAAAGAACCATTTTTTTGTTCATTTACTGCTACACCATAAACCACTGTTCTGTCTGCCTACATAAACTGCTACATTCTTATCACCTGCTGATTAACGTTCATTATGCAACTCACCATGAAAACACATTCTAACAACCATGAATTCTATTTTTTAGCTCCAATGCAACAACAAACCATAAATATGCATTTGAACCCTAATCGAAACTAAAATATTAGATGTGTATTCTGTGTCAGATGGCCGTACACGTGCATAGGTGTCAATCAGT